GTGCAACCTTAACTTCTGCTACCAAAAATATGGAAATTGGTGAACAAATGCCAAATGTGCTTGATGATGACCTTTTTGCTGGAATTGGCATAGACAAGGCATCACAACCTAAGTCCTAAAAACTCAGAACTCTTTAAGTCGCAAGTGGCAAAAAGCACTGAATCCAAAGAAGAGCTAGGTGATTCAACAAATCCAACCAGAGGCTCAGGAGACATTTCTAAACTTACCAGACCATCAGAAAATCTCAAGCAGCTAAGATCTTTTTCCTCAAATTCACCTGTTCAATTCAGTCATCTGGGAATCAAAACACTGTTTTAATTAAGCAACAGTCTCTGGACATGAGCAAATTTTCTCTAAATCCAATTTCAGTTGCTGCAGAACTAAACAAAATAATTCAAGAGGACTTCCTCAATCAAAGATGTGAGCATTAAGAAGAGACCAAACATTGTAGCAGTTGAATTCAAAACAAATGAATAGGTGGCAATTAAAACCTTGATGTTTTAATTGCCTTTATGAAACCTCTCTACCTCTCAACTTGGAAAATGACAAATTGAATGCTACAAACCATCATCTGTCATGGGAAACATCTGCTCTGGAGTCATTGGTCCAATCAAACATGAAAATGACCTTGATGACTTGTTGAACATGCAAAGACAAGCTTGCAAAATTGTCAAGATATCCAGACTACCAAAATTCTCTGGAACATCAAAACAAGACTCACTGGTCTTGAAGTTTGACTTTGAAGGTAACCAGGTACCTGAAAAGTTATTTTTGATTTCGTCATACAGAGTGAGACCCTATAATTCACCATCTCTTAGATGCTACAGATGCCAGCAACCTCATCATCTTGCAAGTGGATGTACCACAGTACCACTCCTGTACACTGCCTACTCTGCACTGGAAATCACTACAAAGATGTGTGACATGCATACATCATCAATATTCAAGTGAGCAAATTACATTTACATCATCTACAAAGGAAGAGAAGGACATCAGAGTACCACTGTTAGTAATAGATGAGTACACTCTGCATGCTTCAAACATTTTAAAATTGAGTTTTATTTCAAGTGTCCCTTATTATCTCGTTTCCAGATTAATGCAGGAGCCTTTTATATTGCCTCTAGCACCATGCAAATAGCATATGGATTTTTTTTAGAGATGCCATACAATAGCCCTCACAAAGACCTTTAAATTGAGCCTAAACTCGTTTATGAAATGTTTCATGGTAAGAAATTAACAAAAATTGCTCAAAACCGTCCCTTATTACCATATTTGATGGTACTGAAAAACCTGCTTCAACTGAGGCAACCTTTACAGCTGCTTGCACATCCATCTGTCCTGGTGTTAGAAATTTCCATATTACTTAGGTTCTAAGTTTCTTTTTCTTCGTACCTATTGTTGGGTATGAATTTGTAAATAATGTGTGTTGGCTGTAAGACTTGGTGGTGTAAACATCACATTAATGTTGCTCCGTTAGGAGTGTATAAGGCCATTCCTTCTTAAATGCTATTTATTATTTTGAGTGATCACTCTTTGTTTTTTCGTTTTATTTATTTACTTTAATAATGCATGTTCGCGCTTTCTTTGGTTAGAAAAGGGCGGACTCCAGTGCTAAGTTTGGGCTTGGCCTTCTCTTGTGGCTCGACCACTTTAACTTTGAGCTTCGGCTTTTACTCTAATATTTGTTCCTAACCTATTGGGAAAGCTTGATGCTTTCTTAAGCTTAACTTACTTGTTAATTTGGAGTCTGCCCTATTTCTTCTACTTTCATTATTTCCCTTAAATTGGCCTCTTAAAATTGCCTCTTAAAATTACAGCTAAATCCGCTTGCTGGCAAAAGATTTTAAGGTTGGTGCGTGCTGATGCTATTCTGACATAGTGCGACATACATTTAGGCTAGTATTGAGTTTGTTATCTTTACCATTTATTTTACAGCCATACCTTTTTTTGTTCAATAGAATAACTGCGAGTCTGGTGGGATACGGATTTACGATCTCTTTGGAACCGTCGTCTACCTCTGGCTTAAAATTTAAAGATCCTTCTGGATGTTCTGGGTTGGTAAATTTATTGCTTCCATGTGCGAATTTATTAAATCTTGTTGAAACATTGAACTATTAATACGATTTTATATTTGAAGGGTTTTTCTCGATTCCACAGTTATGTTGGGCCGGGTTTGTTCGTCTGTGTAACGTCGGCGAGCCTGTATGAACCAGCTAGCAAGTGTTATTTTTTGGGACTTGGTTCCTTCCTAATTTCTGCGAATGCGTCTTGATTCCTCAAGCTTGGGACCAGTCGTCTATGGGATCAAGTTCCTCAATAAAAGTTCAATCTGTTTACCTCTTTTTTTGTATTAAGCCTATCAGTTGTAGTGCTGTAGTTGTGTAGCTGTAGAATGCACATCATTGTGCATTCGCCTGTCGTTGTGACCATTCTTATATTAATACAAATCGATATTCATCGATTTTGTATGAATATTTATTAAAAGCATTAAACGAACTCGTGTCATTAATAAATTTCATACAGGTTGTATATTTCTCGTTAAAATTTTCCACGTGTTTAAAAGAAAGAATTCATATTTTAATAAATAAAGAGAACTCTACGCATGAATGTTATGTTGTACTTGAAAACAAAATTATCGATCGTGTCATCAATCAAACGTGGTGCACGTGATCACTAAAAAATACGAGTATGAGTTCTTCAAATGCCTTCGGGTAACCATTGACTAATTTGTTGTTATCGATGTATTATGATTAATTCACAATTAGATCATTGCAATTAATGATGTCAAAATATTAATTCAGTTATGATATTGTGGGAGAGCTCTAACATAAATATGCTACCCGGCATAGTGAAAAAAAAACTGGTGAAACTCAATAAAAGTTGATAAATCCAGGCTACAGGTAATTCGGAGGAGCTGATATCCTACCCCTAGAAAACGCGACGAATACCCCCTACCGATAAATACTAATTATATATATTTATACTTTACAACTGAATGTACTGCGCAAACTAAAGAAAAAACTGTTACAAAACACAATCCAAGGTGGAGATCGCTGAAGCATCTGCACTCCCTCCTAAAATTCCGGTTCCGGACTCCGACCCAAAACCGGAACGGCTGTCGTCTGATAAATCAGCGCTGAATTAATCTGCATCAGTTCATTAGCTTCGAGCTTCAGGGGTCCTTACCAGTGATCTTCAAAAATGTAGCGGCCACTGGTTATGGACGACAGTCTTCCCCGTCAAGTCTCTGCTCCAGCAGCATCCTCAAATTATATTGACGACAGTCTTACCCGTCAAGTCTCTGCTCCAGCAGCATCCTCAAATTATATTGACGACAGTCTTACCCGTCAAGTCTCTGCTCCAGCAGCATCCTCTTTATTAACTTGACCTTCAATATGCTTAGAAAATTTCAACTCATTGTCAATATTAACTCCTAAAGAAATTGGTTTAAATCTTGGGTAAATGAGGAAATTAAAAATGAACTGATTCTAAAAAATCTCTGGTTTGTCACTATGCACATTCATCAACTTGATTTTGAATTTAATTTTCTGTACACCTAGGTACTACTAAGCAGGATGAAATTCGAATTTCAAAGGTTCATCAATTATTTATTTCGATCCACCAAGACCACTTTTTCAATTCAACATCATTATTTGAGGCAAAAAATGAACTTCTTAAAGGCTTAAAACACATACGCTAACTTGCTCAGTTTCTATGAAGTACCTAATCACTTGGAAGTTGCAAGTCTGCACCTTTCACTCAACAATTAAAATTAGACTTATAGGGTAAACGTGGTATATTCCGTCACATTAAGGACGCATCGAGAAATGAAAAACTATAAAAAAATAACCGTATGCGTTACCGTAAAATGGGGTAGCTTAGACCACTTTTTTTCTTATAAATGATGCCATTTTCTTACTAGCTAAATTAAACTTGAATTGAAACATGCAAAATACAGGTCTATACTCTAGCTAATTTAAAGATCCTTCTGGATGTTCTGGGTTGGTAAATTTATTGCTTCCATGTGCGAATTTATTAAATCTTGTTGAAACATTGAACTATTAATACGATTTTACTTAATTATATATTTGAAGGTTATTTCTCGATTCCACAGTTATGTTGGGCCGGGTTTGTTCGTCTGTGTAACGTCGGCGAGCCTGTATGAACCAGCTAGCAAGTGTTATTTTTTGGGACTTGGTTCCTTCCTAATTTCTGCGAATGCGTCTTGATTCCTCAAGCTTGGGACCAGTCGTCTATGGGATCAAGTTCCTCAATAAAAGTTCAATCTGTTTACCTTTTTTTTGTATTAAGCCTAACACTGGGCCATCAAGCATGGCCATTGATGAACAACCAATATCTTCTCAAAAGAGACAAACCAAGACAGCTAAAAACTCCAAAAAGAAGAAAACTTGAAATGGCTCATTCAAATTTCAATTCTGTTCAGCAACCTATGTTACAAGAGTCCCAATTTGAGATATATCAGTTAAACTGTAATGGTTTGAGAGGCAAAGTATCAGAGCTGAAGATCTATATACTGTGAAATGGGGTAATAAGGGACAGTTTTGAGCATTTTTCATAAATAACTTCTTACCATGAAACATTTCATAAACAAGTTTGTGCTCATTTTAAAGCTATTTGCAAGGGCTATTGAATGGCATCTCCAAAGAAATTCTAGTCACTTTTTATGTAATTTCTCATTTATGAAAAAATGCACTATTGTGCTAGCCATGTCTGTCTGTCCGTCCGTGACTTCATGTTTTCGTCAACGAGAAAATGCGCTCTCTGTCACTCACTGCAGTGAGTACTGAGTACTGAGTTATATTTTTTAATTGTTTGCTGATATTTATACATTAGATTTAGGGTCTTTCTATAGTTCAAAAAGCTGTCTTTTTTTTAGCAAAAATGAACAATGGTGATGACTTATACAAGTTATTAAATTTATTTCATCATTATGTATATTCCATGTTTTAACATAATATCCCATTTTTATCCCATTTCAGATTCTGTAATTATGAACTGTAACATCCAGTATCCTATGTAAATTGATTATTTTCTTCTAATAATTTCTATTTTTGGTTATTGTTTAACCATTTGCAATCACATATTCTATTTCAACACTTAACAATGTCTCTGGATCTCCGTTTTGCTGTGTCATGTTCAAGTAACATGAACCGAAGTATGGAAGCTCATGCGATGCTCCAGAAGAAAGGCTTCAAAGTTAGGTCTTTTGGCACAGGAGACAAGGTTAAACTCCCTGGCCCAGGACCTGATAAACCCAATTGCTATGAATTTGGAACTTCATATGATTTCATTTACAAGGATTTATTGAACAAAGATAAAGCTCTGTATACTCAGAATGGGCTCCTGCACATGCTTGATCGCAACAGGAGAATAAAGGATGGTCCTGAGAGGTTCCAAGATTGCACTGACAAATTTGACATCATTCTTACCTGTGAAGAAAAAGTTTATGACCAAGTTCTGGAATGTAAGTACCTTAATTTTTTTAACCATCTAACACTTCATCTCTCAATGTTTTACAAGCTACAGAGTGCTGTTTTATTTTTCTTGATTACAGAAGCTGGCAGCAATGAAATGTATTCTTTATGCATTTATGCTCATTTATTATTTACACTCTGATAGCTGCAAAAATGCATGCAAAGTGTCAAGTCTTTCATTAGAAACTAAAATTGTTGACTTCTCATACATTTCACTATTAGTACTATGTAAATATATAGGTATTTAACTAAGACCAATTCTATGTTTAACTGTACATAGTTTTGTAATTCTCCTCTGGCATTATGCTCAAAAAATATTAATTTCAGTAGGTACAGTATACTTTCACATAAATATTTAAATTTTTAAAAATTAAATTAAAAAGATCATCAATTTGGTTTATAGAATTTTATTGCAATACAACCTCAACCTTTAAATGTGTGCTACAAGATCTCCATTTGATAAACCATATTGATCACCTGTACTTTTGACAAAAGCTGCTATCACTGAATGGTCACTTTATTTCTAAAGCATTAATTTATTTATTTCAATTTATTTCAAATCATTCAATTACTTGTAGATAAGATAACTATAAAGGTAGGTATCTCATTTGCAGGAAATGTAACAGTTTTGACTTATTTCCTCAGTTTTGGAGTGCCATATTCCCGAAGAGAATAATCCTGTGCACATCATCAACATTGACATCCAAGACAATCATGAAGAGGCTACCATCGGCGCCTTCATGATCTGCGAGCTTGCTCTCTTGGTGGGTCATTGAAATTAATGTCCTTGTCATGAATTTTCCAAACATAAATGACTGGTCAACTACAAAGTTTTAAATACATAATCACATTTTTATAATATCCGCTCAAATACCGGTATAGTAAATACTTGACAAGAAAGTTTCAAGATATATTATTGTATTTTTCTCTTTCAGCTATCAAGTTCAGATGACTTAGATAATGACATTGACGAATTACTGCACGAGTTTGAGAACAAATGCCAGCGCAATATTCTTCACTGTGTCCAGTTCTACTAAGCGGTTGCTTCTCTCGTATCACAGTCATCACGGAAGAGGAGTTCTTCATTTAGTTCTAGTTTGGGTGCGTTTTGTCTCCTGAAGATGTACCAGATTCAATCCTAACCCTAACGAACAGCCTGTTTATTAGTTATTTTTTTTAATTTTCATTTAGTTATTTAAAGTCATTTGTATATTTTTTGCTTGGGGAAACAACCATTTTCTTACTCCTCTCATTCATAATTTCCCTTGCATGAAGTGGATGGGTAATAAGTGGATTACATATTCAAAATACTGGCAAACTGGTACAAAAATGTTATTGTATGTCTTTATCCATTTCAAACAGAGATGCAACTTTGAGCGACACAAAAATTAGATTTTTTCACTTTCAAGCATCCTGCTAAAAGCTAATATGTTAAATCTAACTTGCTTATGAATGTTTATTAGAGAATATTAGAAATGTTTGTGTTAAAGAAATTTTCTTTCCTATTCAGGTTCGCATTTCTCAGTTGACGTAGTAATTACAATTAAATGCAGCCAGCAACGCGATGTTCGTCATAGGCGTGTCCGGTTCTTGATGCGATCTTTGGTGTCGTTTTGACGACGTTCTCGGTTTTATTGTCTCGAGACTCACGGTTACTTCACTTCAATTATCTTGCTAAAAATATCCCAAGTGTAAATGTTGGCAAGTAATTATTTCTTAGCTGATTATTTCAAGTTAAGACTTGATCTATGTTAATACATCGCACCATATGCTATCCGATTTTGACACCCGCAAACATCTATTCAAGAATTTCACGTATAAGATTTCATTGATGAAAGTGACTGTGTCATTTTATCCAAGAAACAAACGCTTATAGCGGCTGAAATAGAAGCATAGTTTGCAAACGGTCAAAGAACTGCTTTCGTTCACGGAATTTGCTACTGCTAAGAGATCCTCTGTGCAAACCGGTAATGACATAAACGTAGGAATTATTAAATATCATGACATTCTCGACTCAATGGGCTTAGAGTGCCGCTAACGAGCGATTTGTTAGATATTTGACTTGTAAAGTATCCAATGTAGTTGTACATTCATCATCTAATATTTACTTTGACGTGTTAACAGAACTTTGGACGTGATGTCAAAATCTCTATGTTACGATAGTACTTCTCGTATTTGTCTAGAAATCTTTGGGTCTTACACCATCTTGTTGTTTCCAGCTCAAGAGTATGAAGCAAAATTTTTCAAGTTGAACTGTTTTGTGAGTTTGAATTAAAAGTTCTAGTTGTAACGAGTCGCATGAAACTAGCCGAGTTTATTATTCAGTGTTGACATGTGCTCGAAATTGATTTCGATTGCAAGCGATTGAGTTGTCAACTCATTGTACTAGATTGATTTTTCTTGCTAATGTGTTTAAGTTCTAGCTATCGTTACATTCTCAGAAGCTAGAAAAAATTCTAGCTAAAGCTACATTCTCAGAAGTTATGAACTTCACAGAAAAAGCTGTTAACGACCTATTGCTTCCATGTTGTCATTTAACCTATTTAAAAGTGTGATTGTTCATTACATGTCTACGTCAAGCATTTTGTAAATATTCGAGCTCTTCTGATAGATCAAATAGGGATTCTTGCGGGTACTTTCAATGCGACGCTTGATTAGCTATATAGTGGAGAGTGCAATATCACATTCACCTTCTATGGCTTCAGGAGTGTAGCGAATTGAGCGGGAATGTGTTCTTGTGGTTGAGATTGTTCAAGTATGGCTTTTAATTCGGCGCCACACAGGAAGCTTTCCAAGATGCCTGCGGCTTATAACCTTTATGGTGAAACATCATCGCTTCACTATGGTCTACTCTGTTGTAATGTGATGGTCTGTTGTGCTCAAATTGTCTACTTAAGATCAATGCATATTTTTCAGTTTGCTGTAATGTCTTTCTTCGTTCATTACATATACTTTCCAGATAATTATCGCGTTCCGGTCAACCCAGAGTGCGTATGTGTCACACTGAACGTATTATCTTCATAATATTTCGCTGTCAACGTTTCCTACGTCCCAATACATATACGCATTGCAGGTGACGTAAGAACTCAACCAATGCCTTGCCGCTGCTCTTGTGAACAAGTAGTACAAGTTTACGAGCTTTCTATACTCATTTGGTGCAAGATTTTCTCCATTGAACTGGTCTGGCGTCACACTTTTACAATTATATATTTCATATTACTGTTCAACCAATATTTAATGTAATGAAATTCCTCTCCTGAAAAATATTAATGTGTGTATTCAGGAGTGCATCGTCAGGACACAAGTACTACGAATATTCGACTTAATTACGAAAGCTTTGAATTTAATACGAGCATTTACCATTTCTGCATGGCCTCCTCCTGTCAGGCATTTCAATAGTAACAACTCAAGTACTAAATCCATTGCATTCGACTTACCCGTAAGTTTTTTTCCTGTTACAATTCTTTTTAAACGCTTATTACTCAGAAAGTAATTGTTTGCGTACCGCTTTTGTTCCCTATTATGTTTTTCAAGCGTTTGGAAGAGCAGTATCATGATCAGTCATACGTGGCTCAAAATATCGCTCACTACAGAAGTAAAGGACTTGCTGCAAAAATGAAGAAAATAAACTTCAACTCTATTCAAGTTTGGATTGAAATTAATCCTTGTAATCTTATTAAATTCATTTACAAGTTCATACGAACTTAAGACAAGTTTACTTGTAATCCCACTGGCGTTATGCATGAACTATTCGCATTAAAACCTGCCAATTATGATCACTGGAAAAATGAAATACTCGTTAAATATATTAATTCCTATAACATTTTACAAGATGATCGATTCATGTCTTGGATGTGGAATGTTCAATTTATGTTATTACATCAGTGTACAGTTATTACATCAGTGTACTAGGTTTGCAGGATCTCTGCAAGCCTAGCGAGACTCCACACCTCAACGTCGAAAGCTCGCAAAATCTTATTAGTTGTAGGTAAGGAGTAAATATATTGCGTAATATTCATAACCTATTGCGTTTTTTTGGCCCAGACTTTTAATTAACCATTAATTTTTCCTTGCAAACAGGGTTTTAATGCGGTATATTTCAAAATCGTGAGCAAAATGCCTTCATTGTATAAAAATACAATTCTTAACTAAGTCTATATTGTGTAAACATTCACAGAGGAAAATAGTAAGCAGACAAACACAAGTTAAATAACTTACTCTTAACAAGTTAAAACTAAGAATAATCTGATCGGAGTGCAGTCCAATCATGCGTCATTCTCATAGCTTAGGTATAGCCTGAACTACGTAAGGACAAGTTATACAGCCATAAATCTTTATTTTTCTAACTAAGGATTCTGAACGATTAAACCTCTACAATATAAGCTGTACGCAAACTAAACGCAAATAACTATCTACATATTTTACAAGTCAAGAACCGCATAGAGCTTATGGGTAATATAATATTGTAATAAATTAAAATGATGCGATTGAGAGAAAACGCTAATTGGAATGATGATCCAACAAATTTACAGGATAACTTGACGCTGACACCGGGCTTTGTTTCCTGAGAATTATTGCCGATTTAAAAGAGGCTAAGGCAGTTTCTATACGAGACTCAAATTGATTTCGTCATAGCAAATGTCTTAATATTTTCAACTATAGATAAGAAGTTGAAGATACATATTATTCTAAAATGTAATGGCCCAGTGACTTAGAAAGTGGGTTTGTATTTCTTGGCTTCGACAATAAGATGATGACTGTTGACTATGAGCTGCTGGGCGTTGCAGTGCTGCAAGGCAGGGTGGCTGAGTGCCCTGTTGAGGGAGTGGTGCGCCGTAATGAGCGTCTCCAGAGCGCGCTGCAGCACACTCGTGCCAGTGCGGAAATTGCTGAAACATTGCATCACCTGCAACAATCATAATTTTGATGAGACATTCATGAGCAACCTCATGATAATGACCAACCCTACAAGTAATGTTGTATTAACGGTTCCAATTCTGTTTATCTGTTACGTATTATTGCTACACGTGTAAGATCAGATGGCACATGTTGTGACGGTCGAAGTGAAGATGACAAATAGCACATACAATGTAATATTTTATTATCAAAATGGTAACTTTACACGCAAGTAATTAACTTGTAAGGAATTCCAGAAAATGGCCGAATTAAGATTATTAATATCAATTAAACAGCTACGATGGATTGTCACATGATAAAAAGTTAAATACGCGACCGTATTAAAAATTTAGGACGAAAATTGATCACACAGTGTGCACGGTAATGTGTGCAGCCAGCCGTGAATAAGTGAGCTGAAGAGCATACGCCACTCGCCTGGTTGTTGAGCTGCTCGACGGCTGTGCGCCAGTTGTTACTGAAGGCGCGAGCGACGTTCAACGCAGTCCCTGCTCGATACAAACGCCTTTGAGCTGCGCCCAGTGCAGTATTTTTTGGAAATTATAGGGTCTACAACATATGACTGATCAAGTGAATCGATTAAATGTTTAATAACTTCATTTCGGTAGGTAATATCAAGCAGAAGTTGACTTAGCTAGCATGCTTGCGTATCAATTAGAAAATATTCCAATCCCTGTGTCAGCAGAATATTTCAAAATGAACCGTTTTCTAATCAAACAAAGGTGACGACAATAGGTATATAAATTTCCATTAATATGAAATTATGCGTCAAACCTAGTGTAACGAAAACAAGGCCTATTCCGAACCCTATATCGGAACAGGCAAAGCCTGCCCAGTAACCCTAGACAAGGCTGAATAATCAATCATATCTGGTACCTGTAAGCGAGGCTAAATAATCATAACCGATAACCGTACAGGAAGTTAAATAATCATAACCGATATTCGTAGGCAAGGCTAAATAATAACCGGTAGGCTGCGAAGCTAGGCTGACAAACAAAACCTAGTACAAGTGCAACCTTAACTCTCGCGGCGAAGCGGGCATGAGTTACCCATACAAGAGTTACGAGAGGCTAACAAGAACTTACCCTGAACACCATATCAGAAGTAACAAGTCCTGCCCTGAACCTAGGGAGAGGGCAACACGACCTACCTTCAATCTACGAGACTGACTCTAACCGTCACAAAGAGGCTGATAAGACCTACTCTGACCTCAAGAACGAGACCTAACGTGACCCCACAATGAGGCCCTTGAGTCCTACCCTCGGTCTGTTTAAGGCCCTGGGAGTCGCCGGCGTCGAGGAGCCGCTGCGCCTGTTGAGCGTAGGTCAGAAGGGAGCCGAAGTCAGGACTGAGGATCTCCTGGATATACTCGGCCGTGCAGGCCGCCAGCATCTCCCGCAGCCGCTCGCCTTCGCTGGTGTCTGCCCGCGCCTTTTCCTGGTAAACAAACGCAAGAACTTGGATTGCTGAATGTAAACATGAAACTTCGTGGCAAGTAGGCTTCCTAAAAAATTCTAAATTTGCGTTCGTTCCCAAAGTTGATTAGCAAACATAACCATCATTGCGGCAAATCTTACTTCAAAGACGAACATTGTATTACCGGGTACGTACGGAATTTCGCAAATGGGTCAAAAAGAAACAGAAGTTCAGAAGTAAGTGAGCAATAATGCAAGAATAATTAACCTGCAACAAGGGTGAATGACCTTACAAAGAAAAAAAAACATACAACAATATTTAGAAATGTGAATTTTACGGCAGGAAATTACAGCTGAGACTACGTAAGAAAGTTCGGGCTACACAACTAGGGTCAAATTAGACAATTTGGGCAAGAGACCTGTCCGATAAATAATCAGATATTGAAGACGTAGACTTAAGCATCGCGCAACAAGGAAGCATAAAATCGATTAGGCATTTAACAAGATCGCAACAAAGACTACTTCATGCCGATAAGGGCGGTGCGGCATTACAAATTTTCATCCACATCAACATTGACTTGGAGTGTCACAAATGTCGCATTTCTCACGGTAAGGACGGCGAGGACCATATCGTAGTTGTTGATAAGGAAGACGAGCTGCTGCATGCGATTCCTAGGGAAGTGGAAGGCGGAGAGCCTGAGCAGCACAGACTCGAGCTCCCGGTGCAGCGCCGCCACCAGCGCCTCCGTCCCCTCGATGGGGAACCTGCGCTCCAGGGACGCGATAGCGCCGCACACCTCAGAGATGCGCCGACACATCTACGGTTATTAACATTTATTAGCATCATCGCATTATTTATTAGCATTATCATCAACGAATATAAACTTTTAATTACGATTCAAAGGAAGTAAAGTTACCATTATCGTATTATTATTATTATTATTATTAGCATTGATTAGGATGAGCTTTTAATTACGATTCAAAGGAGTAGAGTTTAAAGTCATAGTGCGGTACAAGTCTGAATTTGACCTGCGCATCTAAATTTCAATCAGAATTGTAACTCAAGCCCCGGAAGGTTTATAAGGTATATAATATGATACATTACACTTTTATAGAAGTATTCATTACTCCCAGAATATTGATCGTTATCATCATAACAAATACACTAAATATATTTACAACAATAATGAGTGACATAAAATAATATTGCATATTTTCTTTACGTAATTTAAAAAATGTTAACATTGCATTAGAATGCAACAATAGCTGGTACAGTGAGTAAGTAATGACACCATAGAAGTCCTCGGTATATACAAGCGAGGAGGCACTCACATAGTGAGGTCTGACGTCCATGTTGGTAAACTTGGTCACGTCGCAATCTTGCACGCTCTGGATGTTCAGTCGGATCACATACTCGAACCTGATTACAACATCACAACAAATCTTAACTGTCTTCAAAATATAATTATCGAACTGCACACACTCGCATATAATATTGTAATTTGTAACGATCTTTATCAACACTCCCTAGAAAATTTCCAGAAATGGCGTCAGCACGACTGTGAAAACAATTAAACTAGCAGAATGAAGTGAATGAAAACAATGAATTCGCAGAATTTCGGGATCTACCAATACTGCCTGGCGCTGACGAAGGCTATGATCGTTAGGCACACTAAAATGTTTGAGTGAGACCACCAAGGGTTTTGTAGAGGCTGAAGTCTAGCTTATAGCCAGTGAACATCGAATAAGTAATTCGATGAGTAATCTAACAGAGCAATATAAGTGATATGCGTTAATAATACTCAGGATAGGGTCACATAAAAATGTATACGTTTTGTGTCATTTCTATCAACACAATAAGTTGAGCTGGTAACGAAACTTTAACTTACGCACAGCTGTTCATATAAATAATGAATGTTTTTCTCTTATAAGGAATTGTCAAAATGTAGAGGTAGCACCAACATGAATTTGAAAAATTGTCTCAAAAATTGAACAACCAACCGTAAGCTTGCGTGGCACCCTCAACATTTCTAGTGATGAAGAGTACATAAAATAAATTTCGCTTCTTCTCCAACAAACCTTCACAAAATCGAGGACTAGCGTGTTTAAGTAACAAATAATAAGTTAAAAAAATTCAGTACGGAGGTCTACATGCAATTTAAAAAATTTAAAATAAAAATCAGTCGAATTACAAACCACGGCGACAAGAGCATAATAGGAAAACACTTATGATTCTCAAAATATGAATACCTTGTGCTCATTTATGAAAATTAATCGGGCACTTTACAGGTTTTAAAGCATCAACCTGAATGAATAAATGAACACAAAGATTCATTCCACTTTTATCATAAATTGAACACAAAGGCTGAATTACACGAGAGAGAAATACCTCTGATAGAGCGCGTCGTTGAGGGCATCCCAGTGGGCATCAAGAGCGGGCACGGCGCGTTTGTGGCACAGCAGTTTGAACTGATGGCACAAATGAAGGCACACGCACAGTCCCACGCTGTCGAAGCTCCCCATCACTACGCTGTATACCTACGGGGTAAATGCTTGGGATCACAACTGACTTGGTATTGATAGGTAAATGTAACACGCACAGACGTTTCAGTAACATAATAAATATACGAGTAGGTATATAATATTAGAATTTTTCTCTATTTTTTTTAATTTTTCAGAATGCCAGTATACATTTTTCTTCGACGCGTTGAAATAATTGTAACGTCAGAAAAAGAATTTCGGTGCAAGTTTAATAATAGAAACAATAGAAACAGATTTAATTCTGTTCACTGTAGCGCAGTGGTATATAGGAACCAGAACCGCGATAGGAACCAATTCCGGTACCGATAGGTAGTCGCTGGTTCGAGAACTTGGCATACTTGTAATGTATATAACAGTTCTTGGTTACTTTTATGAGAAAACACGACACCTAGACGACTAAGGTGGCGTACCAGCGTAACGGTTGGTGGTGTAAAAACAAACCTTAGCGTGTGGCCGGGGGGGGGGGGTCTAAAGGCCAAGTCAATTTTCATTTCTTTACTCCAGGTATGTCAGCTACCTCTTTCTGAACGAGCTGGATGGCGTTGGAAAGAACAGCTTTGAAGAGCTTGAGAGCGTCGGCATCAGTCACGAGGAAGAACTGAGAGAGGAACGCAAACTCCCGACAGCAGTTGTCGAGCAATGCATACTGCTGGCTACGGAACAGCACTTCAAACGGCAACTGAAAAAGTAAAGATAATTAAACATATGGGTCATAAAACAATTCCCTGTGCATTACCACAACTATCACAAATGGTACTAAAGCATCCTATTCATACGGTTTTTAGAAGGGCGCGAAAATCATAAAATCAATGAAATTTCATTACTGTCTCATCAGTATTTTTCGGTCTCTAAATTATCTAGTTATTTAATTGTAGGTGAATTCATCAAGCAATCATCATACCACGAAGACAAGAGCATAATAGGAAAACACAAGGTATTGATTCTCAAAAATCAATTCCTTCTGCTCATTTAGGATAATTAATCGTGTAATTTATCAATTTTGAAGCATCAATTCAATACATAATATTTAATGAAGCGATGATGCTCTAATTACGAGAGAGTGCGGATTTAATCGCTCAATAGCTGCGACTTATCAATGTTATTTCTTGTGCACAAAAATTCTTGAATACGCGAAAATTGTATTTGAACTAATCTACGTAGTTTCCACATCTTTGCTGGAGTCGAGACATAAAACAAAAACTTAGGTTTTTTTATTAATTTGAGCGAAATTCAATTACAACAAAAAATATAACTCAGTTCTCACTGCAGTGAGTGACAGAGAGCGCATTTTCTCGTCGACGAAAACGTGAAGTCACGGACGGACGGACAGACAGACGGACAAACAGACGGACAGACAGACGGACGGACATGACGAACACAATAGGGCATTTTTTCAATAAATGAGAAAATGCGCTAAAAAGAGATGCGAGTTGCTACCTTCCTGCCTTCCCTCTCAGCGACGTGAGGGACGATGATGTCCTCAGTGAGGCCTTCAGGAGACAACACGGCGTCCCTGTTGGCGAGGGCGAAGACAGAGTTGAGGCGTGACCGCGGGGCGGCCCGCCCTCCGAAGAAGCCTGCGGTTCCCCCAGCAGCGCCTCCGCCGCCAGCACCTCCCCGGACGTCGTCCGCTGCTAGCAGGTCTTCCCTGGTCACTTGTTCATCGAACTGCAAAACGAATTTGCGTCAGTGCTTTGCGTTATGTTATTTTAATAATAAAATAACAACAATTTTGCCATTTATCAAATCTCGTACATACTGGAATATTTTTGCATATCTATACGATTTTAACTTCATTTACAATAACCTTTATTTGAAATTACTAAGTTTTAATGATTTTTGAGATAAAAATTCATCTCGCTCGTACAAAATTTTGAAAGCGGTTCAACATGCGAGTATTTCTGCTTCACTGCCAACCATATCATGGATCTATTTAAAGAATCACGAATCAGTGTGTTTAGTGCATTTTAAAATTCGTAGGTGAGAAAGTTGATAATCGAAACATTTTACATTACTATTTAACTTGAAACAATCAACCTACAAGTAAGTGAAAAACAACACACTCGTCCCAAAATGTCAGTGATTTACTTGAAGTTTCCATAGTTGTTTTGTGTAGGCCTGGAAGTACGAATAGTAGACTTTACTCATAGTATCAACGTACTCATCATGAACTTCTCCAGCAATGGTACGGGCGTGCTGTAGCAAAAACTCGAAGAAAAACCTGCAAGACAGTTCATATACATTCAGGATCGTGAGTAAGGCAGAAATGTTCACTGCACAGCCGAAAATATATCAATTTGAAATTTTTTCGATGTGTAGGAATATTTTAATCCCAGACCGTGAGTAATAATTGGAGACAATATAAAGTTTCCTACCGCGACGCCACATTTACGCACAATTCACTAGCACCACAATAAGTAATTGAAGATATTGTGATCTTGAAACAGATTTTCTAGATAACGATGCGTTATAGCCTTTTGCTATACTAGTAGTTACATAACCGAGCGCATGGCGCCATTTTCTATAAACAGCTTAAATCATAGGTTACCACAACCATTTACCCCAAATCTTACCCAACAAAATTAACTAATTACCTTCAATATTATTACGAACAATTACCCCTAATTTGTATAAACAGCTTAACAGGGTACCGATCATGAATCTTGCCCAACAAAATTAACCAATTACTCCCGAATCATGAGTTTGGGATGAAGAATTTATTCATTTTTGATGATATTGCTACGGAAAAGAATCAAAATCCTGCTGATAGTTTTTACACCTGTGGAAGACATAATAACTGTAGTTCAATTTACTTATCCCAAAACTATCACATACTACCAAGACAAACCATTAGAACGAATTCAAATTTATTAATTCTATTCGAGTTACCTTTCATCGATATGAAGAATATTCATAGTGATTACATTGCTTGTGATATGCCCTTTGCCGAGTTTCAAGATCTGTGTAATGAAACGTATAAAGTACCTTATAGTTTTGTGTTGATCAATAAAGATGAGCATCCCAGTTCTGGAAAGTATTTCAAAAATTTAAATCAATTATATATTCCACAGAAGTATTTTTCAGGCAACCGCTCTAGGTTATTCTCGGTTAAAGAGTGTAGTAAAATCGGGGTAAATGATCGTTAACCCATGATTCGGGAGCATTAATTTTGTTGGGTAAATGATCGGTAGACTGTTAAGCTGTTTATGCAGATTCGGGGTAATTGTTCGTAATAATATTGAAAGTAATTAGTTAATTTTGTTGGGTAAGATTTGGGGTAAATGGTTGTGGTAACCTATGATTTAAGCTGTTTATAGAAAATGGCGCCATGCGCTCGGTTATGTAACTACTTATACTATATATCTTGAATATTGTCATTTAATTTTTCATGTCATCAAGTTTAAACCTACTTTTAAAGAATCTCAAATCAAAATGATAAAGCAATAGAACAGACATGAACTCTAATGCATTCGAAATTTTGCAGCATAACATTTCTCATTTAAATTTAGCGACTTACTTATGTTTAATCATGGCGTTCTGAGGGATGTGGTAGTTAGAGAGCGGCTTACGGAACTGATAGATCTTCTGCAGGAGATACTCTCTTATTTTGCTCACGGCTCGGATACATAACTTGGAAACTAAGTCATCAACGTCTGCTACCGAAGACGAATCTGAGCGAGAAAGAAGTAAATTGCTGAGAAATGTAATAGATGTGGTTGCAGAACTTTTCAATACTTCAGTCTAGTCTAAGAACATGATATGTACATACAAATGGTCGAATAACAAAAGAAAAGGTCAAAAGAAAGACTTAAGCTTGCACAGTCTAAGATCCAGTACTACATATCAGTTCAAAAACCAAATACATTGAACTAGGATTAGTGATAATCGTGTAAAAGTACATACAAAATTACTTCTAAGGCCTTTTTACCCTGACAACTCAAATGCTTTCTGAATTTTCTCAATTAGGAAAAAACCTTTTAGTTGAACAAAAAACAATATATCTACACATTCATCCATAAAAGAATGTCGTCCGAAACAAGTTAAATGATACATCCGCTAAAATCTTACAATATTTACAAGATAAAACCTAACATAGGAGATACATGGGTATAATTAACACAAACATAATTAGAATTTAATGTTAAAAATGTATAAAATATAGCCACCATGAAGTTTCCAAGCGTCACCTTTAAATCTTTGTTCCTTGAGAAACTTGCTCTTCTCGTCGAGTATAAGCAGTTGCTGCATGAACGCTGGCTCAGTGACAGGTGTGTTGAAGATGTCACTGCCGAGGTAATTACAACAATATTATCAATAGTTATTTATAAATTTTCCAATAAATTTTTAATACTCAAACCTGAGATACTAACATTCACAAATATGCGATGCATGAACAAAATTATTCATAGAGGAACATTGTTGACATAAACAGTATAGAATTAGAACAAAATAAAGAAGTAGAGCAGATATTATGTGGGTCCTTCTCCACCAAAAGCTTAGTTAATATTCTTGCTAAACCGCAAGATGAATAATGTTATACAACTTCAAAATATTAATATTTCATTTTTTTAAGTAAGCTCCAATTTTTAGAAAATTGCAAGGCTTTTGTAAATTGCTTCGATTAATTTCGATTACAAAATGAAATTTCTTGACGAGTTCACTAACAAAGGTCAAGAGTAAAGAGTTAAAATGACTTAATAACAGAGCTGGGGAGCGTCAGAGACAGCAGACAATGAAGCTCACTGTATAACAGAGCTGGGGAGCGTCAGAGACAGCAGACAATGAAGCTCACAGTATAACAGAGCTGGGGAGCGTCAGAGACAGCATACAATGAAGCTCACAGTATAACAGAGCTGGGGAGCGTCAGAGACAGCATACAATGCTCACTGTATAACAGAGCTGGAGAGCGTCAGAGACAGCATACAATGAAGCTCACTGTATAACAGAGCTGGAGTGTGTCAGAGACAGCATACAATGCTCACTGTATAACAGAGCTGGAGAGCGTCAGAGACAGCAGACAATGAAGCTCACTGTATAACAGAGCTGGAGTGTGTCAGAGACAGCATACAATGCTCACTGTATAACAGAGCTGGGGAGCGTCAGAGAGTCCAGAGCTGCAGTGATGTGTTCCTTAGCAGCAGTTGTGTTGTGTAGCTGCAGGTGCAGAGATGTGCTCTGTTCCTGCAGGCTCTGCAACTCTTGACTGATTGATGAAAGGTGAGACAAGTAGCCTTCAAGTGCTCCTTGCATTTGCTGCACAAATATAAGTAGCCTATTAATAATTATCAGTACCTACATACCTAATTAGACAATGACATCATTGTACTCATATTAAATATTTTAATGCCAACACCACAATCAGAGTAAGAAACTCAGTTGAAAATAAATTCAGACGATTCTCATCAGAATTCTACAAATGCTGAAAAATTTTCATGAATGTAAACTAATTTTAATAAATTATACTAATCCTTGTATAATTTTTTCATTCGTAATATCAATGAAATTTATAATAATAGCAAACCGAAGCCCGGCAACGAGCGATTAGTTCCAGGGAAATATTCCCATAACAGCCCACGGGAATTTAATTGATGAGTTTCAGAGCTCATGTAATTCAGATGAACAGTGCCCTAATAGAGTTAAAAATATTCAGCCCAGAGCTGACGTGAATGCAATTCATGAAACAGAAATAATTCTTTTGGACGAGACTGGGGACGTCAGACTGACTGCCGGCGCAAGCTAGGCTATTAGTGAATAATTTTGGCATAAAATCTACAAAGTTTGCTTGTTGGTAGAAATAAAATATATCATTTTTATACAGATATAAATGGAAATTTTCTTGAAGTGTCTCCTTTCAAGTTCTGGAAAAGAAAGTAAAGGAGAAATTGCTTCATAAAAATTTGACTTACAACATCTGACTGTAAATCTCATTATTTAATTTCAAGGACAAATCAGAGAAGCAGCCTAGATTCTTAAGATAATCGTAGCGTGAGTGGTGAGATGATGATTGCCTGATGCCGTGTATCACTGACCAGGAGGATGTCATCACACGTTGTGATGTGTGAGTGCAGTGCTGCAATATGATCAGCTTTCTTTATATAATCCAGAACACTTTGTTGCTCCACCTGAAAGAAAATGAAATGCGATTATACACAACATTTGCTTCGTTAAGATGTTAAAAACATAGTAGTACGCTTTACGACTGTTCTTTTTCGTCCGGTAAACCCGTTTTAGTCTAGGTACCTATGTTAGACATTGTTCTAATTAACTAACGATAATAACTAAACTCACTTACCAGGTTACAAATGGGAGTCGACAGATCTGAGTGAGTGTCACTTATCGACTTATCGAGGCTCGCGGTAATGGATATATAATCACATCCTAGACATAGCGCAATCTCCATAGCATAGGCAAGCACACCATGACAGGAGTACACGAGCCTAAAATGATCCTGCATCGAAATAGTACGATATCAACTTCTTCAAGTCCACAAGTCTGTACAAAAAATCTTCAGCCAGACGATAGTTGGTGCTGAAAATAAACCCATATGATATAATGTTCATATTTCTATGATACGCTAGTCGAAAGATACGGAAGTCGAAATAATTTTAATATGAAGATACGCAAGTTGAAATAATTTTAAGCAGCTCCTGCACACACACAAAATCTGCCAGTAAGCAGGCGGGGGCCACGCAGTCAATATACTACACTCACAGTGCGGAGCTTCTCTTCCAGCTTGTGCGAGTACTGCCTGAGGTCGGTGCCTGATGTGAGGGCCTCTTGGATCACAGCATCGCCGAGCATCGCATCGCTGGTGTCTTCCGCTGCCATAGTGTCAGTATTCTGATGACAAAGAGATACTCATAAATTTATGATTTGCAGAGGTTCTTATAACATTTGCAGAAATCCTACATAAAAGCTCTAATTCGATTTCAGGCAAAAATAACATCTTTCACAGCTTGGTATACGGTATCTATGAAAGATCATGTCTTTCATAGATAGGTATCATATCTTTCATTTGGTAGTCAAATGCTTGAATAATGTAACACTGTAAAAGAAAGCCTTTTGGACACTTTCAGTTCAATAGGAGCAATGATAATTGATAAGAATAACAAATATTGTATTCCTATGAAGTCAATAATGGATGAAAGGGGGATATCATGAATGGGAATAAAGTGAGAGAATAAATCGTATTGAATTAAAGGGCTTGTTAACATTACCACATGCAAAATTTTTGAAGTGTTTCGTTTCCTCACCGGGTTCTAGTTCTTTGCAGGAACTGGGTTCTTCCTTCTTGATAGGAGGCAGGAGAACAGGGGGTCGCTGATGTTCTTCTTTCTTGATGAGATGTGACAGATTTAGAGGCTCTTGGTGAGTGCTTGTCTGGTGCGGGTAAAAACGCGCTGCCTCTGTGAGAAAACGATGCAGCAGTTTCCTCCCAGACTCAGGGTAACTTACAAAGAGGTAACGAAATAAATGATCTTCTAGATGCTCTGGTTGCATGCCACACTTTTTGATGGACTCTTTAATATCGCGCCAAAGGCGATGTATGATTTGAATATTGACGTCCGGATTTCGTCTATCGACGAACAGTTTCGCTACGTAATGTTCGTAACCGTAATTACCTAGCGTGTCATATGCGGGGTTTGCGTCACTGTATATTATAGAGCCCGGATAAATATACTTGAAGATGATGGGAAAAGCTGATTCAGAGTCAAAAACCTGTCCAAACAAGGGGATAATAATTTTCTTTCTGGACACTCTCTCAATGGCAACAAAAAGCCAAGTTTCCGGCGAGCTGATCACTTCCCGACATTCAAGTTTATTGAAGAGAATAGCGTCAATTTCGACTTCAATGCCGGGACCGCCTATAGGGTCGAGAGCTTCAAACCAACTGCGTGCAATTCTGCAGCATCGACTGCGCCAAGTATCCCAGGTTTCGTACGACCATTCGAGACACGTATTAATTGTTTTGAAATCCCAGTTTTTGCTTAGGAAATGATTGAAAAATAACAATAATTTCCAAGGTTCAACGTCGATCTTTTCAATTAGTGTTCCATTTGAGTCACTTACAGAGAAATTACAAGATTTGTGGCATTTCTGAGAGTTGCTTACGGGGAAAAATCTAGTGCATAACCATGAGCGTTCATCAATAATGTACTTGCAGGGCATGTAGCAGTTGGGACAAGTAACTGAGAGCGGCAATATGCCGTGTGACCGCAAGAAGTCTAAACTGGCGCAATCATCTTCATAAAATTGAGCAACAGTCAAGAAGTAATCATATTCACAGCCAGAACATACGCCAGGGTTACCGGCCATACTACACAAAAACGCACAACATTGAGGCTACCCTGCTTCTACATTATTATTAAACACTGAAAGAAAAATATTGCAACTTAATATAAAAATAATGTATAATCCTACAAAGACAACACAAGGCGAAATTTCAATCATACCGTACATTTAATTATCTCTTCATTAAATTAAATCCACACAATGGGCTATGTTCTACCTTTTTTACCTACAAATTCAACTGATAAAAGAGATTCAATTCTTTGCGGAGTACTAGCAAACATTGACCATTACATACGTATACCTACCTACAGGAAGAACTTCCAATTTAGAACTAGGTACGGTAGTCAAGCTTATTAACCAAAAAACCATTAAAACTGATTGGGCATATACACAACAAGATGGAAACATTATCAAACAAAATTATGAACTATTTTCAGTTGCTTTCATTCTATTTTACTTGAGATTTTAACTAACTTGTTCATTTTAATTTCAATTCATATTTGAAAAAGAAATTCACGGCTTTTTAAAATATCCTGCACAATGACTGCACCCAGAATGTTTTGTTGCTGATTTCATAGGTACGAAATTGCGGTGATGGTGCACTGCATTATAGCTGCATTGTTGCTTTATTGATAATATGAAAAATACTGTACATCACAAAATTAAGTGCTTCTTAATTAAAAATAAATGTCCTTATAACTCTTCTTGGGTAAAATTAAATATTGTTTGTAATACCTGTAGGCTGAATACAGTTTGGCAAATGGACTTGGGATTGGTAAACAAGATTGTAGCTCAAAAATTTCTTTCCATAGCCCAGAAAAGGAATTTGCAGCTCAAAAGATGTGGACTCATAGCACAAGAAAAATAATTCAGGGCTCCAAAAATACAGTCATGGCTTAGAGAGTAGATATTTTCCACACTAGTGTGATTTTAAAGCAGGAAAAAAGGGTTGGTGTAATTTGGCAGAAGCTTTTCTGTCATGTAAGTTTGATTAAAGACTCAAGCATGCTTTTTATTAATATTCTTATTCGTTTTTACAGTGGGTCAAACAAAATTTCTTGCTGGCGCTGGGAGATCACAAAGCATGTTACCAAATGACATTTTAATGGATTGCGACGTTTCGAAAATATAATTTTCATTAGCAAGCAAGTAAAGGTTTTACAACACTTGAAATTGAACTTCTGAAATGAAAGCAGTACAAATCAAGGGTATTGTGGATAAAATTTGAAATCCAAGCATAAAATTACTCTGAAAATAATTTCAGTGTCCGGGTGAACTCTGTAGTCTGGAGGTTGATAACTGGAGACTTGCTCTTGATAGAGAGAGCAAGTGGAATTCTCAGATCTGGCAGCCACACGTTAGCTCTACCACAAGCACCGGAGTGCTCAAAGCTTGAGGACAAGGGATGGGCGGGAGTGGGTAGGAAGGAAGCAAGACTGAGGAATGGGGAACTGGGGAGCCATGATTCTGGTGCTGAGGAGCTCTTGTAGAGTTGCACAGGGTGTGTGCTCCAATTTCAGCCAGTGTGCTCCAAAATTCAATATGATTAAGGAGCATTACAATGATTAAGGAGCATTATAAATAATTTACAGTGATCAAGGAGCATTTACAATGGCACCATGATCTTGGAGACTGCCAACGATGCAGCAACGCATTTTGAAGACTGCTGGTGATGCATTTTGGGTACTGATGGCAACATTTTTGGTCTAAATATGCTAAATCTGGCAACACACTTTGGTATACAGGCAGAGTTTTGGATTTTAGAAGAACAAGAGCTATGTTACACTCATGAAGTCTGGAAAACGATTAAAGCATCTGAAACATGCTTTATTGAACACACAAGCAAGGGATCAAAGAAAATCCCTTTCTTAGAATTCCATCATGTAATGTCTGCATACATATAGTAGCAAAAAAAATAATTTTTTCAACTCATCCTCAAGTTCATTTTTAAGTCCTCTATGTCATAGAGATAGAGACAAACCAGAGATTTTCATTACAACACTTCTCTTCAACTTCACTTCTTGTTTGTTTGTTTGCTTGCTTGTCTGCTACAAATCTTTTAATCATTATTTAATACAATTCTACCAGTCCAATCAATCTGAAATTTTGTACACTTGCATGAAGTTAGAGATAATGCTTGAAGCCTTGAAAGTTGAATCAATTGACCGATTAATTAATGTAACAAATTTTGAACAAATTTTATACATTAAAAAATTGAAAAAAACATTTTTGCTTTTGAATATTCAAAAATAAGATAAGAAATGCATTTTAGATGAGTAACATCAGAGTATAGTGGCGAAGCAGTGAGTTTTTTAGACTCATTCCTGAGTGCAATTATTAGTCTTATAAGTATCATGGATACCAGCATTATCATTTTGATTTAATTATTGAGTAAATGAGGAAATTAAAAATTAAATGATTAAAAAAAATCTCTGGTGTGTCACCAACTCACCATACATTGGAGACACTGGCCCCTTTAGGAGTGTTGTCTTTAATATATAAGTAATTTTTAGATGCGTATTATTTCAAATCCCTTCAATATTAATTTCCTCATTTACTCAATATTTAAACCAATTTCTTATGTATAATAATGTTGATAAATGATATCCCGATACTTTTCTGCTCTACTTATAGGACTCAAAATTAAACTTGAGAATGAGTCTAAAAAAACTCACAGCTTTGCCACCATAGCTAACTTTTTAATTAGTAAGAATCTTGGAAGTTGGATAGCAGCATCATTATACATATTAAATTGATTAAAATATCAATAGATAAGGAAACTAAAAATGAACCAATTCTAAAATAATATGGGTTTAAAAATACTTTTTAAAGACAACACTTCTAAAGAATCCAGTGTCTCCTATGTTATACATGTACAATAAGTTTCCAATTCTATTATTAAATATTACAAAAATTAATTTTTCAAGTTTATTTTTTAAATTAAAATAAATTAAAATTTTAAAAATTATTTATTCTGTCAATTGATTCATAGCATTGCCACCAACTTTACACAAGTGTAATAAAATTTCAGATTGATTGGACAGTTAGAACATAGAAGTGATGGAAGTGTGTTTAATATTGAATATAAGATTTGTAGAAGATAAAATTATTTTTTCCATTTTTTTTAATTAAAAAAATTTTAATTTTTGAAATTATATATTTTGTCAATTGATTCATGCATTGTCTCTAACTTTAGTTTATGCAAGTGTGCAAAATTTCATATCAATGGAAAAGGTAGAAGTGTGTTAAATATTGATTAGGCGGCTTAGGCCCTATAAGATTTGTAGCAGAGTAAGCACTAAGCAGACAGACAAACAAACAACAAGATACAATAATAGAAGTTTAAAAATTACTACTTTTTAAAGACCAGGGTGCAGATTGTGGATGCAGCATCGCCAATATATGGGTTTTTAAGCCCTAAGCGTTGCCAGGTAATTTTAAGATGCGTCGCCGGTAATTTTTAATGAAAAGCCTTTTATGCTGAGTAATGAAAAACTATTTACAAGCCATGAACTTATTTACAAAGTTGCATGCACGTGTTACCCCAAATAACTAATTTTACCCTAAAAACAGTCCGATTGTACAGCAAGTGTCAACTGAACATGTGATAATGCAGTCTGACTGCTCTAATGTGACCGCAACTACGTAATCGTAAACTTGATGTTTACATTTTTTAGCGGGAACTCATCACAACTGATTTCCGGACAAGCTTCACTGCATCCTGATCCATCCAGCATACCAGAAACCTTACTTTTTTTAAATAGTTGGCTGAAGACTGACAAATATATCAAATGCAAGAATTTCAATCTAAATGTGTCGGCAAGATCTTCTAAAGGCATAAATTTTGCTACTGAAGTGTCGCCAAAGATATTGCAATATTCATCCACTCTCTGCACAGTGGTTTAAAGACAACACTTCCAAAGAATCCAGTGCCTCCAATCTTACAGATGTACAATAAATTTCTCATTCAATTTTTGAATATTAAAGAAATTTATTTTTCAATTTTTTAATACCTATATAATTTT